GGATCCTTCTGACTCAATGAGACTACCTGTACAAATGTTTAAAATAAAATCTGATCAATGAAATTACTGAACAGGTCAGAGCGGACCAATGAAACAGGGTGGGGAGGAGAGAATGGGGAGGGGGGCATTCCCCTGCATGCACAGAGCAACTCTTTGGCAGAGCACAAGCTTGTAATAGGAAGAATACGAAGACAGCGATCAATGACTTCCTGGTAGGCTACTGTAGTTTTTCAACAACGAAAGAGAGACTGAGGACGTGTGTGATGAAGTTTTTCTCAGGCTGTTCAATTCTGACACTGGAAAAGACTTTAGTGCAGTGCAGGCTACTAAACTGGCAGCCCGCAAGCCGGGTGACTTCAATCTGGCCTACTTCATAAAAAAAAAAAAAAGGGGGGGGTGGGGGGTGGGGGGTGGTTCTGTTTATTGTATGATTCAATGAAATAAAATGAGCATCATTGTAAACTTTAATTTATTTACATACTTACTTTAATCGCTGGATGTCCGGCCCCCCAACTGTTGGCTTTCAGAAACTATGGCCCCCTGAGAAGTTGTGTTGCATAGTCCCTGGTTTAGTGGTTTTAGTGTGCAGGAGGAAGATGAACATAGCGTTCAGTGACTTTTCCTGGTAAGCTACTGTACTTGTTATTTTTTAAACCAGCCGTGTTACTGGCACTGTTCAGAAAACTAAATTTACTGTACGTATTTGTGTAAGTTACCGGTACATATTCAATTAAATGTTTAAAAAAAATCTTTCTGTGTAAATATCTCATGTTACAATATGGACACACGTGGCTTATATACATGTACAATTTTTTTTTTTATTTAGTGTGAAAGACCCCTTATAACGAGTCAAAAAAATGGAAATAATGTTCCCTCGCACGAACGTGGGTCACCAGGGCCCCACTCTGGAGCCGGGCCTGGAGGTGGGGCATGCTGACGAGCGCCTGGTGGCCAGGTTTTTACCCATGAAGCCCGGCAGGGCACAACCCGAAGAGGAGTCGTGGGTCCCCCTTCCCATGGGCTCACCATCTGTGGGAGGGGCCAAGGGGTCAGGTGCAATGTGGGATGGGGGTGGCCAAAGGCGGGGACCTTGGCGGTCTGATCCTCGACTACAGAAGCTGGCTATTGGGACGTGGAATGTCACCTCACTGGTGGGGAAGGAGTCTGAGCTGGTGTGAGAGGTTGAGAGGTTCCAGCTAGAAATAGTCAGACTCACCTCAACGCATGGCTCTGGCTTTGGAACCAGTGTCCTTGAGAGGGGTTGGACACTCTTCCACTCAGGAGTTGCCCCTGGTGAGAGGAACCGAGCAGGAGTGGGCATACTTGTTGCCCCCATCTTGGTGCCTGTACGTTGGGCTTCACCCCGGTGAACAAGAGGGTAGCCTGCCTCCGCCTACATGTGGAGGGACAGGTTCTGACTGTTGTTTGTGCTTATGCACCAAACAGCAGTTCAGATTACCCACCCTTTTTGGAGTCCATAGAGGGGGTACTGGAGAGTGTGTCTCCTGGGGACTCCCTTGTTCTTCTGGGGGACTTTAACGCTCACGTGGGCAATGACAGTGAGACCTGGAGGGGTGTGGTTGGGAAGAACGACTCCCCTGATCTGAACCTGAGTGGTGTTCTGTTATGGGACTTCTGTGTGCTCGTCATGGATTGTCTATAACAAACACCATGTTCAAGCACAAGTGTGTCCATATGTGCGCTTGGCACCAGGACACCCTAAGCCGCGGTTCGATGATCGACTTTGTTGTCGTCTCATCTGATCTATGGCTGCATGACTTGGACACTCGGGTGAAGAGAGGGGCGAAGCTGTCCACTGACCACTACCTGGTGGTGAGTTGGCTCTGATGGTGGGGGAGGATGCCGGTCAGACCTGGAAGGTCCAAACGCATTGTTGGGAACGTCTGGCAGAGTCTCCCGTGAGACAGAGCTTTAACTCCCACCTCCGGGAGAACTTCGAACACGTTCTGGGGGAGGTGGGGGACATCGAGTCCTAGTGGGCCATGTTTCACGCCTCTATTGTCGAGGTGGCTTATCGGAGCTGTGGCTGCAAGGTTGTCTGTGCCCGTTGTGGCGGCAACCCTCAAACCCAGTGTTGGACACCAGCGGTGACGGATGCTGTCAGGCTGAAGGAGTCCTATAGGGCCTTTTTGGTGGTGGTGAGGTGTTCTGGACACGTCCCACCGGGAGGAGACCCAGAGGAAGGCCCAAGACACGCTGGAGGGACTATGTTTCTCAGCTGGCCTGGGAACACCTTAGGATTCCCTGGTGGAGCTGGCCAAAGTGGCTGGGGAGAGGGAAGTCTGGGCCTCCCTAATTAAGCTGTTACCCCGGCGACCCGACCCCAGATAAGTGGAAGAAAATGGATGGATGGATGGATGGATGGATAGTGTGAATGTCTTATATTTAGATGTGCTCTATAGTCCGGTAGTTACGGTACTTATATCACAAATGTGAATCACTAAAGAGACTCCCACAGTCACAGCCGCAGGACTATCTTTGGCCAAAACAACAACAAAAAACTATATTTGATTCTAACTTTAGATTTTTTTTTACCATATCCTGTTGTAGGTAAAATAAATTAACCGCTGAGGACAATTTCAGAGACATAAAATAAATTTAGTCAAACAAATCAGCACAGATGAACAGATTCTGAAGAAGTTATAAGATAAAAACTCCAGATAAGTCCAGTGGTGCTGTGTGACCTCAGTGAAGAAAGCTGACAGGAAGATGGGCGGGGGGGGGTAGATTTAACAGGATCTGAATGTCAAACAGGAAAATAAATAAAAACAATAAAAGTTCTGAAACAGAACCTGAGAGAAGCAGCATCTTGTTGGAGCTAATAACACTTTCATTCAGACTGCTCCATTGTTGTGATTTTTCAGATTCAACTAAAGAAACTGGAACAAGACGTGTCTGTGACGAGCTGCTGACAACAAAAAGCCTAAAGATCCTACATTTAAACCTGGTTCTGTGCCAAGTTTGTTGTTAGTCTCACCACAACACTGGTTTGTCTGTTCAAAATCTACAAGTCAGAGTCTACCGTTTGAAACGTCTGATTTTTTGCAGCACAGCGTAGAAAAGGATGTGTTATGTGTGTGTGTGTGTGTGGGGGGACGTTCTGCCTTACATGGGCCTTCTCTCTGCGGGTCTCCAGCAGAATGTCGTGGTAGTGCTGAGCCACGGGCGGGTCCACGTCTGTCAGCTTGGCTGCAGGGTTCTGCAGCATTTCCAGGGTCTTCATGGGATCCCCTTCATCCAGGGCCTCGTTGATCCGGCCAATGGCTGCAATTCCTGCGTGAACACACCCAGATCAATCACCACAAAGTGACATCAACCACATCTGCTGTAAGACAAGGAACACAAGCTGCAGCTTGTTGTGGTGTTTTTGAGTTCATTAGACTGAAATTTTCACAGAGGTAGTTTATTTTATTTTAATATATAACTGAGCTCATTTTTTATTGTGCGACTGCCGACTCAACACTCACTTTTTATTTTAGTCTGTTTTTTACAATCCAACCACTTCTTATTACTTTGTGCCGTTTGAGCAGTCCATAAATTATTCACATATCAAAAAAGATTATTGGTGAGATGAGACGCCAAGATATTTGGGTTTTACAATTTTTCAAAATATTTAACTTCATTTTCAAATATTTTCCTCCCACAGAAACACGTTAGTATCTCTTCCACTCCTTACACACTTTGTTTTATTTAAATCTGCTTCAGCACTTGTTCTCCTTGTGTCTTCTGATAGTAGTTTGACCTTTAAACTAATGTTTTGCTGCTTTAGCTTTTGGCACAGGTCTTGAAGTAACTTTTTATTTGTGTGCAAGAGTGAATATATGTACACAGAATTATGTATACAAGTACACAAAACTATGTTGTACTGAGACATTTAAATTCCTTTTCTATGCAAATGTACAGGACAATAAAAGGATTCTGATTTTAGTCTTTCACTACTTTTAGATTGTAAATATTATCTATTTAGCTAGCACGTTGCTTCATTTAGCTTTTAGCTCGTGTTCTGCTTCTTTCAGTTTCAGCTTCTTCAGTAAACTTTAGCCAAGTCATTCAGCGTTCGCCCTGTATTCCAGCAGAACATACAGTTTCTCAGGTTTCATTTGGTGAATGTATAAATTAGACGCTGCTCTTCGGTGTATGACGGTGTTCGGTGTTAAAATGGCGGCGTGGGTCTCGTACGTTCGTGCTCCTCGTGCACGGCCAGGTTCACTTGGTCGATGCAGGCCTGGATGTCGTTCCAGGTCAGGAAGTCGTTCCCTTCCTCTCGGGCTGCAGCTTTCAGACGCATCAGTTCGTCCATGTACCTGAGCAGCACAAACAGCTCCACGTCAAACACGTGACCTCATCACAGACGAGCGTCCTCTGGGCCTCAAGCACCGACCTCTGAGCGTACTCGTCCTCCACGTTGCTCAGGCCGGTCACAGAGCTGGACAGCTGTTTCCACAGGGCGGCCCGGTCCCCAACGTCCATGGCCTGGTTCATCAGAACCACGGAGGACAGCATTTCCACAGCAACCAGCAGTTCAGGGTGGTTCAGGTTGCCCTGGGAGACGGAGGACAGAACTTCACTCAGGTGTCAAACTGAAAACAAAAACTACAACAGCAAACGATTTGAAGCAGAAATAACTGAATCTACAACAATCAGACAAGTCCTTCTAAATGTTACAGAGGCCAAGGATTTCTTTGAGATGTTTCATTAAAATTCTGCCGTTCAGTTTTCTCTGTAGCTGCATCGTTTCATCAGAACAGAAAAATAAAGAGAACGTCTGAAGAGATGAAATGAACCCACGCAGCAAACACAACAATCAAGACGGACTCTGTCCTCCACCCAGAAGACAAAACAAGGAGATACATGTGTCTCCATGTGAAGACAGCTTAGTAACAACAACAACAACAACAACAACAACAACAACAACAACAACAACATTTTACTTGTTGAACTGTCCTTTTCATGTTTCTGCAGATGTGGCAGGACATGGCTCATTTCGGATCAGAATTACACTGAAGGAGGTAAAAATACTTTGACTGACAAACATAATTTCTACTCATCCTGATGCTGGTGAAGATTCTCAGTCATCCAGGACATGATGAATTCAAAAAGCGTTCAATACAAAAACAACTGGACTTTATTTGTAACAGAAGACGTTTCGCTCCTCATCCGAGGAGCTTTCTCAATTCAAAGAGCAGAGAGAAGGAGAACAACAGACGTAAAAACATTGTCATCCCTTATGTTGCTGGAGTATCAGAGAAATTCAGAAGGATCTTCAACAAACACAAGATCCCAGTACATTTCAAACCCAGCAGGACTCTCAGACAGAGGCTGGTCCACCCTAAGGACAAGACACCCATACACAAACAGAGTGGTGTAGTGTATGCGGTCCAGTGCAGCGAGGACTGTCCAGACCTCTACATTGGAGAAACTAAACAGCCTCTTCACAGACGCATGACTCAACACAGGAGAGCCAGCTCCACAGGACAAGACTCAGCTGTTCACCTCCGTCTCACAGATAAGGGACACTCTTTTGAGGACCAAAATGTGCACATTTTGGACCGAGAACACAGATGGTTTGAGAGGGGGGTGAAGGAAGCAATTTATGTAAAAAGAGAAAAGCCGTCTCTTAACAGAGGAGGAGGCCTCAGATTTCCACTTTCAAAAACCTATAATGCAACTTTAAAACAGATTCCCAGCTGGTTTTCACACCTGATGGGAACAGAGGGGCCTCGTCTGTGAATTAGATGAACAAAGACCTACTGTTTAGGTTTTTAGGTGTGAACTGCCAATCTACATATATGTGTGGGTGTGTGTGTGTGTGTGTGTGTGTGTGTCTTATGTGTGTGTGTGTCTTATCTCACTCAGCCTTATAACCTGTATCTCTCACTCTCTGCTCTTTGAATTGAGAAAGCTCCTCGGATGAGGAGCGAAACGTCTTCTGTTACAAATAAAGTCCAGTTGTTTTTGTATTGAACGCTTTTTGAATTACTCATCCTGATGCATGCTCAATAATCCAGGTAGAAAACCTTTTTGTTGATTTGCTTTGTTTTGTTTTTTTTGAATGTCCAGAGGACCAGATTTAACTTTTTTAGATCATTTCTACTCCTTCCTTCCTTCCTTCCTTTACCTTCTCTCCTTCCCTTCTGTCATCTTCCCTCACCTCCCTTCCTTCCTCACTCTTGTTGTTGTTGGTTTTTTGGTGAGTCGAGACAGTTCTTCTCGTCCTCAGCGTTTCATTACATTGTTGACCTTGTGTTGATTTTGCACATGACAAATAAACCAAGCCTGAACCTGACTCACTCCCTGGTAACACAAAGCCCAGCCTGAAGTACCAAACAGGTTCTTTAAGAGGTCTGTTGTGTGTCAGCCCAACATCGGTCCAATTCTTCAGTTTAGAAGCCTTTTCTGACTGAATGATCAAAGTTAAATGTTTAACAAAAACGCACCTGGATCAGGTACCAGGACAGAAACCGAGTTAAAAAGCAGCAAAAATCCAAAATAAAGAAATAACAGACGACATATTTTGTACAGAGCTGCAAAAACGGGACTGGATGACGTCACATACAAGTGGTCAGAGAAGGTTTGAGATATGAAAATGGTGCAGGTGTGTGTGTGTTCTGGTTCAGGTGTGTGTGGTTCACCTCCTGGCTCTGCTGCTGCAGACATGCCAGCTCTCTCTGATAGAGGTCTGCGGCGCTCGGGTAGACCTCGGGCAGCTGAGCGTCGGGGTTCATCAGCTCCTCCACAGTCTTCTCGGGCACGCCTGCTCTGATGGCAGCGTTGATTCGCTCCACGGCCTTCAACACTGCACAGATTCAATCAGCACGAATAATCAGAAGAAGGTCAAGCAGGCATGTGTTGTACATGGAGCGGTCTTACTCTTCCTGTAGCCTTCTGCTATTTCGTTGGCCACGTCCACGCCGCTCTGCAGCTCGTCTTTCGTTAAAGCTTCTCCTGGAGAGGTCTTAAAAATGGACCTTATGATGAGAACAGAACCCTGGACACAGTGATGTACAGTCGGGCGTGCACTACCTGCTCCTTGCTCTCCCGCTCGCCCTGCAGCTGTTTGAGGTACCAGCCTTTGTTTTGAGGCTGCAGGTTCTGAACGCCGACGGCCTTCAGGGCCGAGTACAGCTTCTCCTCATCTCCATCCACCAGAGCCTGCTCGGCTGCGCTCAGGGCGTTGCTCACTGTGGGAGACAGGTCAACATTCCTGCAGGGCTCCACAGAAAGCAGGACACCAGGAAACGTCTTCAGGAGGCTTACCATTGACCGTGTTGACGTTGCCCTGGATCTCAGCCTGGGTGAGCAGCTCGTCGTAGATATCGCTCTCTGCGTCCGTGTTCTCCAGTTGCTGAAAGGCAAGAAGAACTTACAGTGAGAGAAACACCCCCAAACTAATTCTAGAAAATATCTTCATGTGGGTGTCATGCAGGATGACTTCTGATGATGTTGCACCATTTTAGAGTTAATAAGGGCGTTTATGTGATTAGCTGAACAAAGTTCCAGTAGTTTAAAGTCATTTAAAGTCTGTGTTCATGTATGTCTCACTGCAGGACAGGTTGTAGCACATCTGTCCAACAGCTGGAACACTGTGTTTGATTCACATGTTTCAGCCCACAGTGTCTTCAGCTTCTGCAGCCTGATTTGACTGAAGGACTTTGAATCTTTTTCATCTGAAGTCTAATATTTTCTTAGCTTTAAGGCTTTAAGGTCAAATAAACAGCAAGTTGTAGGAGCAACATGATGAGGAACAACAATTGTGAATAAGACTGAAAACAGATTCAGGGACGTCTTTGGACGAATACATGACAACCACACACATTCATAAACACACGTGAAATTCAGAAAAGTGGATTTGCAGAGAGCTCTTTGTTCTTTTCAATGATTAAACACATTATTTTTGATATCTGTACAGCTATAGGCTCAGTAGGCTACTTGTTGTCTCTCTGGGGAGGTTTTCAGGGCATGTCCGACTGGGAGAAGACCCCCGGGAAGACCCAGGACACGCTGGACAGACTTTCAGCTGGTCTGGGAACGCCCTGGGGTCCTCCTGGAGGAGGTGGCTGTGGAGAGAGACGTCTCTGCTGCCTCCAAAACCAGACTCTGGAACAACCGGAAGATAATGGACCGACGGAAGCAAAACCCCAGCGTGTGCACGTCAGTACACTGATGTGCACTCTGAACCTCAAGATATTACCGCATGTTCTGAAACCTGCACACAAAGTGAGCTCACTTTAAAAGTTTGCTCCGTCACATAAAATTAAACACTTTACCAGACTGATCACGAGTTACTCTCAAAACATCCGCGGGACAAGACCAGTCTTTTTGTAACCAGAATGTCAACTGGGAGACCTGGAGCCTCTAATTTTAATAAATCTCGTTTATAGACACAGGTTTAATTTTATATAAAATACATAATTTATGAATATCACAGCTGATTTCTGGACAGGTTTTAATGTGGGAGGGAAACATTGATGGTGTTGGGGGTGGGTCTGGGGGTCCTCCTCCAGAAAATTTTTGAATAGATGCCATAAGCTGCATTCTGGTGTATTTTAACAAGTTGTTTAACATCTACGTTTACCTGCATAAGTAAATAATTGATTCAATAACTATTTTAGAGTTAATGGCACAACAAGTAGCCTGACCAACAGCTCTCCTTGTGTGAATAAAGCACACATCGCTTCTCTCATGAATTCTACCCCCCCAAACCAGTCGACCACTGCCAGTACTAACAAAGCGTTTAGCAAGCAGCACCGAATATAGACAATACAGACAAGCTAGCTAAGAAGTTACAGACGTAGAGCTCCACTTCTTTCATGCACCCCCCCCCCCACCCCCCTGGTCCCATGCCAGTCAAAAACTGCCGGCACCAACATAGTGCTAAGCTAGCGTGCAACACGTCTCCCCCTCCTACACCTGCGCCATCAAGTGACCTCGAGGAAACACTGCATAGTGTGGTGAGTTGTTGTTGGTAACCAGGAAAACCTGGAGTGGACTTTTAGTGGTTTAAGTATTCTATTAATCAAGTGGAATGGATTTGTTCACAAAGAAATAGAAACAGCGCTGGGTGAACTAATATTTCATGGTAAATGTGTGCGTGTGTTGGGGGGGTCCAAATTAATATTTTTTAAATTTTCCCATTTAATTGTTGCAATGCCTTTGGGTGAATGTTTTGCAGCTCGAGCATAAAGCAGGTAAATCCATCCAACCATCCATCCATCCATCCATCCATCCATCATCTTTACCCGCTTCTTCCTTATTGGGTCGCGGGAGTCACTGGTGCACATGTCCAGTTATCATTGTTATCAAAGGTTTACATTTTCTGGGCTTCACCCTCGTCTGAACTGGGATTGTAGGACAGTGCTCTGGTTTCTTCCAGCTAATTAACTATGAACCCTCTTACCCGTTTACGCGAGCTGGCCACCTTCTCCCCCTTGGCCCGGTAAAGGGTGTCGTGGTACTGCTGGGCGGAGCTGGGGTCCAGGGTGACGAGCATGGCATTTGGATTTTGCATAGCGGCCAGCGTGCCCTCTGGTACCCCCTGATCGATGGCCTCGTTGATGGCAATCACAGCAGCGTGCACTGAGGGTCGAGGAGAGCATGGGTCAGAAACAGAACTCTGAGCTGAGTTTAATTTGACCTTCACAGGTAACAGAACATTTAGGCAGCTGGAGGATGTTTCCAGAGTAAAACAGGACGTTGTTCTTTCCTTCCAACAACCCCCTGACCTGCTGTTCTGTCACAAACTAAAACATTTATTCACTTGTACCATTTTAATTATCTACAATAATTTCCCCGGGAATTAATTTAAAAAATCATTTAATGAGTCATTTTTAATCAGCCATTTGAGGCTGTAGAAAGTAAACATTTTAAAAATGACTAGCAACACCTGAGATATTATTTCTTAAAGTGTGCCTTTTTTAATTCAAGAACTGGATTACCATAATTTGTTTACATGGAGGGGCAGGACATAAAAATTATACAACAGGGGGCCACTAGGGGGCACTCGTCCTTCATAGCTTCAACTTCCGTGTTCTGGTGCTGTTTCTAGTCATTAAACCCCATTCCTGCAGAACTTTTTTTTTTTTTATTTCTCTGTTCGCTCTGACTGATACCACTGACTATGCATTAGGGCCGAACAATTAATTGCATTTGCAATAATATTGCGATATGATAAAACAAGATTTTCTAATCGCAAAGGCTGCGATTTGACTGGTCACATGATCTGGTTACGTGACTTGAGAGTGAGTGGAGCAAAGCAGAGCAGGGAGCGGGAGAGGTCAACACTTCGTTTTAACCGGTTGCACAATGGCATCAGGCTCGACAGAAGCGGATGATTCTGAAAGTTTGGTACCAAAGAGGGGCAGCACGTCCGTTGTTTGAAATTATTTTGGCTATAAGAAAGAAGACGCTGCACAACGACATGTATTGTGCAAACCTGCCTTGCTGCTGTTGCTACCTCTCGAGGTAACACCACAAATCTTTATCAACACTTAAAAAAACACCACAAAGCCATTTATGATAGCTGCGTGGCTAGAATGCCAATGACCAGTGCTTCAATTTAAATTAAGCAAAGTAGCAGCTGACAGGGATCACTGACTGAACTGTTCAAAGGTATTACTCTGTATGAACATAATTTGAAATGGCACACGGAAATAACTCGAGCTATAATGGAGTTTGTAGCAAAAGACATGATGCACATTAATATAGTGATCGAGCCTGAGTTTACAGCTTTGGTAACCACAATGGATAAGTGGTACAGAATACCCTCGCACACATGCTTTTGGCCAAGTTTCTATCCAGGAGCTATATACAAAATGCAGAAAGAGTTGCAGCGGAGCTGAAAACAGTGGAGTTTTTTGAAACAGATGATTGTGTTCGTTGAAAAACACATGAGAAGAAGACATTGAAAAATAATTGCATTTTAAATCGCAATCGCAATATTGAGGTAAAAAATTGCAGTTAGAATATTTTCCAAAATGGTTCAGCCCTGCAATGTATTGATAACCAACTGACAGGCATCCCTGTAAAAATGACAGAACTACCCTTTAAATCAACTTACTCCCACGAGTTTGTTAATGTGACGGCAGTTTAAGTTTATTTCCCTTTTATTAATTTAAATCAACTAGTTAAAAAAAAATCTGAAGTTCCAGGAACCCCCCACCCCCACTGGCATTTGACCCCCCCCCCCCCCCACTCTCACAGGCAGCTTCATCCACTGAAAGTTCATTGGCCAGGATGCCTCCAATCTTGCTGAAGGCGGGCATCTGGATCCCATACTTCTCCAGCTCACTCTTCATGTTGTTGATCTCATCCTCTGTAGGAGCAGAAGGAACAGATGCAGGAGGTGGGGGGGAGAAAGAAAAACAGAGTGAGACCAGGGGGTGGGAATGAGGGTTGTGGAGGCAGAGTGTAGTCCTGAGACAGGCAGCAGAGCAGGAAACGCTCTCACAGTCTAATGACTTTCACATTCCCAGCAGCTCCTCGTGGCTGCCTCTGCTCCTCGCTCTGCTGCATGGTGAACACTTGAAACTTCACTTTGGAAACAAAATGTCACGAGTAATGTGTGGGACTACACGATGCCAAGTCACTCACCGGTGAAGTCAACTTTTCCATACAGATCCTGGATCTGAGGGGCCAAACCCAACTTGAACAAGTACAGGCTGTAAAAATAATAAACAATGAAACATGCAAACGGAACAAAAGGCCAAATAAAATGAAGCATTCTTCAGTTGTTCATATAATCTGCAGTAGGAGGTTTCCTGTCTGCTAAAAGACAACAGATGGTCAAACGTACAAACATGGAACTGAGGATTAAGATGGAGAGATAAAGGCAGCTGGTTTAAAATACTGGGTTCCTTGAAGGAAATGTCTAAAATATAATCCTAAAGTATGTTTGGAAGCACTCTTCTGAGCCGTGCCAACAACTGAGGATGAGTTTGTGCAGAAAAGCCTGAAACTGAGCTACTTTCTCCAACAAGGCCAGAACTCTGTGGTCGCCAGAGGTCACTCTTTCAGGGATGATGAAGATGTGTACATGGTTGATAAGAGAGGAAGAGAGGAACATGACATGATAGTATTTACTGCTCCTACCAGGTCACATTTAGTTCAGCCTGTCCATGGGATGCTTGTTTAAACTAACATTACCGTACAGATGTCATTTACAGAGGAAGCAACGCGATGCTCTAACTTTACTCTGGAAACTTGAAGCGGCGCTCTCCGCTCCAGGAGGCAGACTGCAGGCCTGTCAGTCTTTTCCTGCTGATCTTCTTTGGTACAAGATGAATGGTCTTAACAATCGAGACAATGCTACCCCCAGAGGTTCCAGTTGTGCATTTCAGTTACAAAAAACCCTTCTGATGGTTCTTTAGGACCGCGGCAGTTCAGTTTTAGATCTCTGTTCAACGTGTCGACAATAAAAGATTGTATTAGCAATGTTTTTGCTGTGACCAGGTGGCTGATGGTTACAGCATAAAGTGACTGGTGACAGTAACTAAGTTCTGTTTTTTGTGTGTATTTGACTTCGTGAGCTGGTTGCAGACTCTGAAGTTTGTGCACAAAACACCTACGCTTTATCACAGATCTTCCTTTTGTTTTTAAAACCTCAGGAGAAGACTGGGAGAACCTCACTGCTAACAGAACCTCGCTGCTAACAGGACCATGCTGCTAACAGGACTGCACTGCTAACAGGACCATGCTGCTAACAGGACTGCACTGCTAACAGGACCATGCTGCTAACAGGACTGCACTGCTAACAGGACCATGCGGCTAACAAGACCATGAGGCTAACAGGATCATGCTGCTAACAGGACTGCACTGCAACAGGACCATGCGGCTAACAAGACCATGCAGCTAACAGGACCATGCTGCTAACAGGACTGCACTGCTAACAGGACCATGCGACTAACAAGACCATGCGGCTAACAGGACCATGCGGCTAACAAGACCATGCTGCTAACAGGACCGTGCGGCTAACAAGACCGTGCGGCTAACAGGACCGTGCGGCTAACAGGACCGTGCGGCTAACAGGACCGTGCGGCTAACAGGACCGTGCGGCTAACAGGACCGTGCGGCTAACAGGACCGTGCGGCTAACAGGACCGTGCTGCTAACAAGACCGTGCGGCTAACAGGACCATGCAGCTAACAGGACCACACTGCTAACAGGACCACGCTGCTAACCATAACAGTTTTTACACTATTATTATTATTAACATTTTTTTTATTTTAATTGCTTTTTATTGTGTTCCTGTTATGGACTTGCGACCTGGCCAGGTGTACCCTGCCCCTTGCACAGTGATGGCTATATATGGGCATCAGTGACCTCCGCGACCCAAAAAGGAAGAAGCGGGTAATGATAATAGATGGATGGATGGATGGATGGATGGATGGATGGATGCTTTATATTGTTATGAGTTGTTGTCTGTACTTTATATGTCTGTCTAAAACAGACCTCTCTTGTAAATGAGTCCTTGTGACTCAATGAGAATAACCTGTCTAAAAAAAGGCTAAATATATAAAAAGCCTCTGCTTCTCTTTCACCTGCGGGGAAACGCTGCATCAACACAAACAGCTCTGTACCTTCCACCTCTGAATGACTTCTGCAAAAATCTGCACAGTTCAGCTCATAATACTGACCCAAAAACAGGCTCAGGCCAAGAATGTCGAGGATCACAGAGTACACAAGTTTTAAACAAACTCTCTTCGTTGACCAACACTTCACAGCATGTTAAATATTCAGCAAAGGTCCGAGTGATGAAACTCTGGGCTGCAAAATCTGGGGCTCAACAAGGAAATTAACCATAACAAGTTGGGGGGGGCACAAACCTGAGGGCATGTATGCAGTAGATGCAGCGTGGCATGTTCTTTCTGTCATAGATGTCGGTGGTTTCGGGGTAGAAGATCTGAAACAGTCAGGAACAGTGAGGTAAGCGCAGCATGTGAGCAGGAGGAACTCAAGGATTACACAACGAGCATGTGCACCGCCTCCAGCGCAGCTCGTCTGAAGCAACACACACCGCTTGTTGTTAAAGCTGCAAACGGATGAGGCTGTTGGCTTGGTGTCACAGTTTTATCCACAGCACAGCCGTTTCTTTAATACATTTATTTTTACAGACATTAATGAGGACAGTCAGCTCATTAAATATTATTCACAGCTGCTAACTTCACTTAAAGATTTCTACACAACAAGTGGATCATTGTAACAGTAAAACTCATCAACCTCCACAGCCTTGTTAGGACAGTTTGACAGAAAAAGGAACGTTTGCTTACATGATAATATACTTTATAACATATAAATGCAATTTGTTTAGATGATTTATAGTTTAAGATTAACCAGGCGACTAAAAGTCAGAAATAGGTCTCAGACCAAACTGTGTGCTCAACATGTAGATGTGATGAATTAGTAAAAATAAAAAAAACGGGACAAAGCCAGGTACTTAAAGTCATCAGTAGAAGTCAGATGATGCAGGGTTTTCAGCTATTATGCAATTTAAATTTAACTAAAGTATAATAAAACCATTGAAGTTGAACTTCAGCAATACACAGGAAAAACTTGGACATGTACATTTGTTTGTGTACACATGGAAATGGTTTTTACAGGTCTTTGTAGGAGCGCTCACCTTCGGCAGCCCCTTCTCTGCCATGGCATTGAGCCACTGGATGACATTGTCTGTGTGTCTGAAATGGAGACCCGTCGCCTGGAAGACAAACACGACAACAAAAGATAATAATTGTTTATCCTTCCCCATAGCGCTCCACTGCTCATGTGGTTGGCTACTCCTGTGCAAGTGTTGTGTCACACATGAAAACAGGTTCATGAGCTTGACCTTAAATAACTTTCAAACATTCACAATTTCCCCAAATACTTTTTTATGACAGATATAAATAACCCTTGGAATAAAGATAACAAGATATTTATTTTACAAAGGATTAGGCCTGTCACGATAAGAAATTTTGTTGGGCGATTGTCTCAGAAATTATTGCGATAAACGATAATATTGTTTGAAATTTAACTATAATTGTCAAAATTTAGAAGAAATGTTGATTTGTTTGGAGTGTAGTACCTTTTTTGACCACCTGATGGCAGTATAAAACTGTTTGAATCAAAGGATGGATAGTTGAGCAGCGTGTCTCTAAGAAAAAAGGAGGAAGGGCCCATGACATGACATGGATGGGCTGACATGGTGACATGGAGGACGCTTGGTAGTTTGAGCTCTTTAGCATAGCATTTTTCACACAAAGCTTTTAATAATAAAAAAAAAAAAACAGTAAACAAGTTCTCAGCTTCTTTTTGCAGAGAAAAACAACTTTTTACACAAAGGCACGGGTTTCAACTGTGAATTTTGGAGCTCGAAAAGACGGAGGTTTATTCCCGAGATCGGCCTGTTAGCTTAGCTCACAGCTTAGCTTCTCAGCTTAGCTGCTTTTAACCATCCAAAAACGTGATTTTGTACAGTTAAAACAGATTTTAAAGAGAAAGGGAGAGGTCAGTGAAGAGCACCGGAGTTGAGCCTTTTGTCATCCAGTGTCTTCAGTAGAGAAAGACATGAAGAAACGATAAAGCCGATAAATGAAAATGAGGTTGATAATTTTCATTCAACATGTAATTAACCGATTTATTGTTTATCGCGACAGGCCTACAAAGGATGCCTGGGCCTGAAAGCAGCCTAACATGCACGTTTAAGCGCTGTGGGTTTTCTCCCACAAGAAGACCTAGGTCCAAACTGGGGACTGAATCCAGGACCTTCATGCTGTGAGGTAACAGTGCTAACCACTAGATCGCTGTGCAACAAACAAGTCCCAAGCAACACTCAGGAGAGAGTGGAAGGACAGTGATTTGCATGTGAGTTCATCCTGCAGAAACACAGCAAATCACTACAGTTTTCAAAGTTTGGAACTCCACACTTTTTATTTTGAATTAAGAAAGCACAGATCAGAAGTGAAATGTCTTCATAATAATAAAAAAGTCTGGTTGTCTTTGTTTTAAGCTACAACTGCCATCCCCTGGAAGAATGGGAACCTTCACCAGCAGTGGCAGCATAAGGTGTGGTTCCATTTCAGGACCTTTATAGAAACCAAGGCAGTTTGCTAGGATAGATGATTACCCTGGACTGTTTTCACCACAGGACCAGCACCAAAACAGACTACCAGGGTAGGTATATTTACCCCACAAACAGAGTATTTTGATATTATTATAAACTTTTAGAGTAGTGGGGAAGCTCTATACTGTTCAGATTAGAGCCAGACCGATATGAACATTTTGGATATCGCTGATACCAATTTTGGGGAGAGGTGAACGCCGATAACCAATATAATGGCTGAAATTTTTTTTTTTTTAGCTTTGTCCACCCCCAAGAATCTAAGAAAACCGAGAGTGGAGCGGGAGTGGGAAAAAAAATCTCAGGTTTTTTCCACTTTGGAGTAAGCTGTTGGGGGAGAATCAGTTTTGTTTGGCGTTTCCTCAAACTTATGAAGCCTTCTGGATGGAGAGTGAAATGTCTCAGCACAAAAAAAAAGAGACACCGTCCAGATGACCTGACTGAACATTGTTGGAATCCCACAGTAGGTTTACAAGTGGTGCACTGGTCATAAAAACAGTCTTCCTAATGTGCATTCACATTTTCTATCCTCCACTATTCACCATAAAGTTATCAAGTGTGATACACAAATATAAATTAAACAAAGAAACATCCTCCCCAGTTCATTGTCTAAACAGTTAGTCACTTATGGGGAAGGTCTAATTGGTACTGACCACAGCAGAGGTGTTTTTTTGTTTGTTTGTTTTTTTGCAGCGAACTAAAGATTTCAGAAAACAATGCCTTTCATGCCTTTTTCACCTTCGGATCCATTTCAAAATTCTCATGTATGTTTTTAAATCACTGAACAGTTCCGCCCCATCCTATCTCACTGATCTTCTGCAGCCATATGTCCCACCGCGCTCTCTGAGGTCAGCAGACCAGATGCTTCTCTCAGTCCCAGAAACCCGTCGTAAGCTCAGAGGTGACAGGGCTTTCTCTGTTGCAGGTCCACGACTGTGGAATGAGTTGCCACTGAGTGTCCGGCAGGCTCCCACACTCTCAGTCTTTAAGTCTCGCTTGAAGACCCACTTCTATTCGCTTGCCTTTAACTCGGTGTGATTTGTTTTGGCCCGGTCTGTTCTCTACTCTGTTGGCCATTTTAGTTAGCTTCTGCTGCTATTTGTATCTGTATTTCTATTTTATGTTTTTCTGTCTGCTGTGCATGTTTGTGTTCTTTTGTACAGCACTTTGGTTGGCCTTGTTGCTGTTTTAAGTGCTATATAAATAAATTGGTATGGTAATTGGTATGGTTTCATTGAGGATGACAAAGATAATGTTACTAACACTGACATATTTTACCTATACGTTACATTTATTTCTCTGGCTAAAGTTTTACACGACAATAGCCTATTCTAGGTTATCTAAACGTTAGGTTGTTAACTTGAGAGGTACGTAGCTAATGACAAGCGGGCTGGACTATTGAAGAGAATTTATTATTGTTTTGTTTTACAGGTCAGTTACAATAAACTTACCAGTCTTAGGACCCACCCTCTTTACAATCTACATACATAATGTAGGTAAAAACATCCCTAATGCATCCATACATTTCTATGCTGATGACACAGTTGTTTATTGTCGAGCTAAAACAGTTGCTAAGGCTTTCCAGCTTCTGAAATCTGCATTTAACATCATCCAGACTGATTTGTTTCACCTCAAACTTGTCCTAAATGCCGAAAAAACCAAAGGGATGCTTTTTTCAAATAGGAAGTTGGTCCCAGCAGTTCTTCCTCCGATTTTATCCTCAAATGGTGTCCCCATTGAGTTTGTTGATTCCTATAAATATTTGGGTATCTTGGTCGACTCACATCTCTCTTTTAAGCTCCATGTGGAAAACTTGGTAAAGAAACTGAAAATTAAACTGGGTTTCTTTTTCAGAAACAGATCCTGTCTAACCCTGAATGCTAGAAAACGCCTTGTATCTGTGACTTTCCTTCCCTCAATTGATTTTGGTGATATTATTTACATGAACGCTCCTACAAGAACCCTGCAGATGTTGGATGCTGTCTATCATGGTGCACTAAGATTCATAACTGGCTGTGATTATCGTACCCACCACTGCACCCTGTATTCATTGGTTAACTGGACATCATTAACTTCACGCAGACTCTCTCACTGGTACATTTTCATCTTTAAATCACTTCTTGGTCTGCTGCCTTCATACATCTCCTCCTACATGTCTCTGCGTGAGTGCAGCTACGGAGTGCGCTCTCAGGACATTATTACCTGCAGTGTTCCCTCAGTGAGGACTGAACTAGGCAAAAGGGCCTTCTCCTACTCCGCTCCTGTTTCCTGGAATATCTTACAAAAAGATTTGAAGCTCTCGACCTTGACCTCTCTAAGTGGCTTTAAGAATCTGTTGGACTCCTGGCAGGGACCAATGCAGACATGTTCCTGTTTTTAGTTTTATACATTTGTCTCGGAATCTAGTAGTTTTTTTGGTTTTGTTACCTTTTTCCTTTTAGCCATCCTATTTGTTAAAAAAAAAAAAAAAACTGTAGTATGAGTTTTTATAACTGCTTATTGTTGTTGCTGTTGTCCATTGTTGTCATCTTTCTTTGTTGAAATCAGGTCTCTCTTGTAAATGAGTCCTCGAGGCTCAATGGGATTTACCTGTATAAATAAAGGTTGATTGATGTTTGGCAAAATACACTTCACAGTATTGATCCATGCTTCATCTGTGCTGAATGTGAAAGTGAAACTTAAGTGAATGGCCAAGACTTTAAAGTAGTATTCATGTGCCCTCTGCTGGATACACTGTACCAAATACAACTGGTTCCAGCATTTTAGGTGTGAAAATTAAAAGTTTTTATATCGGTGCGTAATGGGACAATTATCATTGATACCAATAGGTGTATATATATATATATATATATATATATATATATATATATATATCAGCCTAAATTATTGGCCCCACAGATATATTGGTCGGTCTCTAGTTTAGATTAGTTGGAGTTTCATAGTTCGGCTTCCTTCTTGCTTGTCTGGACAGAGTTTCTACATTTTCAGATGGCTGTAATTTGACAATAAGTCAAAGTCTCACTGCACACAAGAGCCAGATGTTAAGAGGGTTTTAATGAATGTAAAAAAAAAAAAACCTTCAGTGATTGAAGACTGCGCTATGATTCATTACCCTGCACAAAGAGTTTATCTTTACTGACTGATTAAAACTGTGCTGATTGTAAAGTATGTTTAAAACAATAGATGAAACAAATACTTTGGAAAAACCTTGATGTGAGTGCTGAAAATGCACATTTCTTGTCTTTTTCCTGCTGAAAACATTTAAACTGAATCCATCAAAGTGTTATTTAATCTGGTTAAATAAAGAAAATGAATGAAAATGAACAGAAGCTATGAGTTCAGGTTGCCACTAATGTTTGATGCATTTAACAAAATTAGACTTGATCTTTTCTAAACCTTTGCAGAAATGCTTTCATTTCTTAATAAAAGCTTTAGGCAGTGGATGTTGTTCTATTATTTAGAGGCTTTCTGTTGACTTAGAGACCCACATTGTGCATTCCCAGAAATGTGTAAAAGTTGCACCAAATAAGATGCTCATTTAAATGCATCAACCACATTTCTACAAGCTGAAAGGGGAACAGTTCGAAATATTAACTAGATTATCTATCCTAGTCTATTTTAAATGAGATGACAACATATAAGGATGTTTGAAAGTGCAACCCCACCAGCACCAAACAGTACAGTAGAGATCCGATCACCTTGTATCTCGTCTGCTCACGATCGTAGATCTTCTTCAGGGAAACCGTCTGCGAGGCAAAGAAGTTGGCCAGTTTGGCCAGATAGACTCCATTCCTCAAGCCCTCCTCCAGCTCTGTCGTTGGGGGCAACTCCTCATTCAGGCAGGCCTCCATCCATCTGCAGGAGGACATTTAAATGGACTGTACTTATATAGCGCCTTTCTATCTTATTGAGATACTCAAAGTGCTTTACACTACAATCTGTGTCCTCATTTACCCATTCATACAGCACTCTAACAGGAAACAGATGGGGAACATACATTTATTGAGTATCTGCACAGAAACATTCATCTGAAACCTGAACAGAAGCAAAACATTTGTTTTCAGAAGTCCTAGACAACCAGGAGCTCTAGATGGTAAGGGGTGGAGTTACAGCACCCGAAGAGCATCATGGGAATGACTCCAGCTACTACCACACAACATTTTAGACCAATATCTGTAAATGTTGAGCGTTCTAGTACAAGCTACAGCCATATTTGATGTTTGTTAATGTCATATAGCTACATCAGTTGTAGATGTACATCCAAAGACTTTCATTTATATCCGTCCAGTGGTTCAAGAGATATTTTGCTAACAGACAAACAGGGTTGATGCTAAAGTTTTAAGCCAAGCTAAAGCACAATGTGTAGAGCTCAGTCTGTGTTGTGGATGACACTAATCCACTACCATTGTTGCACAGTGTGTGAAAAACTGCCCAAGTTCGAAACCTTTCTTTCATAGTTTTTTAAGATCAGTTGGCCATGGCAGCCATCTTGAATTGAGTTGACTCTGAAATTTATTCTGTTATACACTGCCTGACCAAAAAATAGTTACCACCTGGATTTAACTAAGCAAATAGGTACGAGCTTCCTGTTGGATAATTACTGCATGGGCAATTATCTTTCAGCTGCAACAAGTTATTTAACCCCAACTGGTGCAATGAGCTGCTTCTCATTTCTTAAACAACCATGTTGAAAGACACATCGTGTGGTTGTGGAAAAGATGTCAGTCTGTTTGAGAAGGGTCAAATCACTGGCATCAAGCAGAGAAAATATTTAAGGAGATTGAAGAAACTACTAAAATTGGTTTAAGAACTGTCCAACGCATTATTAAAAACTGGAAGGATAGTGAGGACCCATCGTCTTCAAGGAAGAAATGTGGCCGGAAAAAAATCCTGAATGATCGTGATTGGCGATCACTTAAACGTTTGGTGAAATCAAATGGAAGAACAACAACAGTAACACTCAGGGCTGTTTAATAGTGAAAGTAAGAGCATTTCCACACACACAATGTGAAGGAACTCGAGGGATTGGGACTGAACAGCTGTGTAGCCTTAAGAAAACCACTAATCAGTGAGGCTAACTGGGAAAAAAGGCTTCAATTTGCTAGGGAGCATAAAGATTGGACTCTGGAGCAATGGAAGAAGGTCATGTGGTCTGATGAGTCCAGACTGACCCTGTTCCAGAGTGATGGGCACATCAGGGTAAGAAGAGAGGAAGGTGAAGTGATGCACCCATCATGCCTAGTTCCTAGTAATCAATGTAGGATCTTGGTGAAAAATTAATGCAGCACTGGATGGAAATAGATTGTGAGATTGTAGAAGTTTATAGAAACAATGCCACAGTGAATGCATGCTGTAATCAAAGCTAAAGGCGGTCCAACGAAATATTAGTATGTGACCTTTTTTTGTTTGAAACTTTTTTCTTTGGCCAGGCAGTGTAGATGGACCTGCACCAATTACTTTGTGAGAGCTTCATTCAAATCTATTTAGTGTTTCATGAAATATTTTGCCAATAGTTGACTCCAGCAGTGCTTTAAAGAGTAGGTGTTGGTCAGTTTCAGTTACCAACAAATTATTTCAGCTCATGTACAATCAACGGAGTGTTAGCTAAAGTTGATTAGCTGTAGCAGTCATCTTGAGCGTGAATGAACTCTAAAAGTTAATTAGTTGTAGCCGTCTATCCAACAATTAATTTCCAAGAGTTTCATTAAAACCATCCAAAAGTTTTCCTTTTTTGAGCAGCTGGTATACAGAAGTGGGGCGGATGGACAAAGCTTTTTCCTTAGTTTACCCATGTCCCAGGAGAAATATGACAGTTGGCCCGCATCCGAGGCCAAACGGGGGAGTCAGATTCAGATAAGACACAATTGTTGATTTTCTTCTGGCAGACTGTTTTTTCTCGTCAGCCTTGTTTTTGATACTTTCTCTGGGCTATGTGGAAAAACTGTGCACCCGTCACCATTCATCTCACTGTTTGGGGTGGTCCCTATGGATGCATCCTTCAGCATGCATGAGAATAATATGATTGCATTTGGCTCTCTTCTAGTCAGGAGACTTACTTTATGTAGATGGAAGGATCCGCATCACCCGGCATATGAACACTGGATAAGAAAAGTTATGCGTCTTTCATTTGGAAAATATTAAATACACTGAGGGAATATGTTTTGAGATTTTGGGACACTTGGCAGACATTTATATGTTGTATTGTAAGTATGTCAGTGCCTGTCTGATGTCTTTGTGTCCGTGTAGCTGATCCGGTATGGGAGGAGTAGGGTGGGAGGGAGTTTTGTTGTAGGACAGCACGGTGGCGCAACTGGTAGAGCTGCTGCCTAACAGCAATCAGGTCCCTGGTTCAAATCTCGGGCTGGGGGCCTTTCTGGGTGGAGTTTGCATGTTCTCTCTGTGCATGCGTGGGTTTTCTCCGGGTATTCCAGTTTCCTCCCACAGACCAAAAACATGCATGTTAGACTGATTGGTAACTCTAAATTGTCCCTAGGTGTGAGTGAGAAAGTGAATGGTCGTTTGTCTCATTTGTCTCTGTGTCCCTGTGATGGACTGGAGACCTGTCCAGGGTGTATCCCACCTCTCTGACTGCTGGACATGGGCACCGGTGACCCCCCGTGACCCAAAATGGAAGAAGCAGGTAAAAGATAATGGATGAATGGATGGATTTTGCTGTATGGGTTCTTTTTAGTGTATTTGTCAGTGCCTGTCTGATATCTTCGTGTCTGTGTAGCTGATCCGGTATGGGAGGAGTCGGTTGGGAGGGGATTTTGTTGTATGTTTTATTAAGTGTGTGTGTGCGTTCTGAAAAAAAAAATAAAAAAAAAATAAAAAAGACTTGGATTAAAAAAAAAAAAATCCATCCAAAGGCTCATGAGATCTTTTGCTCATGGTACACGCACACACAAGTTGTCAAAATTATACAATGCCATGAGAGTCAGAGTTGTTGTACCTGACTGGCATTATTAGCTTCATTTGACCCAACACAAGACTGGGCTGGTTGGGTCTTGCAGAAAACTGCTGAGTGTTTTACACATTTAACCTCAAAGCAGATTTCATATGTATTTTCAGTACCAAGACAAAAAACTTTTCCCCTGGCATCATCTCAGGAGTTCACAGCATTCCTCCCGGGAGACATTTCATTTCTCTGAGGTCATGATATGAAGTCACATTCCTGCAGTGTGCCTGAATTATTTCAGGCCGCAAAGGAGACGTAGTGAGCTGTGAGACCAGGACGGTCCGTCCACTGGATTATTCCAAGCTATGACTTTTTAAAGAACTAAGTTCATGAGAGTGAACTTAATATGACGACATGAGGAACTGCTCAAAAACCTGAACATGTGGAGACCAGATTTTAAATCTCTTCACAAAACACCTTTAAATTACATTAAAAATGAACTACTGAGAAACAGCATCAACATGATGATATTGTTGTATATGTGGTTGTCTTCTAAACCCTCCCTGCATCAATGACTCATGTTCTGTGATGTCTGCTGTGCTTCAACAAGCCTGACAAACATCAGCTCCCACACCGAGACCTGGAGGTTTCTCCTGGTTCTGAGGAATCTCTCAGTTTGAGAGCAAAAAGACTGAAGTCAAACTTTTGAAAACAAACTCCTTTCATTTGCTGAAGAAACACTCCTACTCCTCTGCAACCTGAACTAAATCTTCAGTATAATTAAAAGATTCCTGACCCTCCTCTGCAGAGACAAACGGCTGCATAAAGAAACGTCTGACTGGTTTAAACAAAATCAACACTGACCCCTATTTAGGCAATACAGAAAAACTTTCTTCATAAAATAGACAAAAAATAAATACTTTTAAAACCGCTAATAAAACTGAATAACTGAATGAATAAAACACAAGAATATGAGTTTTCAGTCTAACATGCAGACATGATGTATGTAAAACATCTGAAGATCATTTTGCTTTATTGTTCACAATGAAAAGTTTAAATTTCTGAAAGCATTGCATTAAATAATTTAACCCAAACAGATTGGAGAGCAGAGGGAGGATAAGATAAGATAAGATAGAACTTTATTCATGCTGCAGGAAATTGTGCCAGAGTTTCAAAACAAAGGAGGAAACACACAATATATAAAAGAACAGAGGGGTATAAAAACACCAACAGATAAGGTCCAAAACAGGGCAGGATCTGATAAATAATGTTCTTCAGAGTAATATAAACAAAAAAAAAAAAAACAAGGAGGTACCAAATAAATCTGATGCCACCATACACGTTGCATCACCATATACAGGTCCTTCTCAAAAAATTTCATATTGTGATAAAGGTCATTATTTTCCATAATGTAATGATAAAAATTAAACTTTCATAAATTTCAGATTCATTGCACACCAACTGAAATATTTCAGGTCTTTAATTGTTTTAATACTGATGATTATGGCATACAGCTCATGAAAACCCAAAATGCCTGTCCCAAAAAATTATCATATCATGAAAAGTTTCTCTAAACAAGCTATTAACCTAACCATCTGAATCAACGACGTAACTCTAAACAGCTGCAAAAGATTCCTGAGGCTTTTAAAAACTCCCAGCCTTGTTCATTACTCAAAACCGCAATCATGGGAAAGACTGCCGACCTGACTGCTGTCCAGAAGGCCATCATTGACACCCTCAAGCAAGAGGGTAAGACACAGAAAGAAATTGCTGAACGAATAGGCTGTTCCCAGAGTGCTGTATCAAGGCACCTCAGTGGGAAGTCTGTGGGAAGGGGAAAGTGTGGCAGAAAACGCTGCACAACGAGAAGAGGTGACCGGACCCTGAGGAGGATTGTGGAGAAGGGCCGATTCCAGACCTTGGGGGACCTGCGGAAGCAGTGGACTGAGTCTGGAGA